AATAATGTAAAGAAAAGGCTTCGAGTAATTTCTCTACAGGGACATTTTTATTTTCATTTATATAGTAAAAAGAAAACGCTATTAATCATAATTCGCAACACGAGTCGTGCGAATCATATGACGACGCTACAGCGTGTGTGCGACCTTACTTAAAAAAAACAATTAATTATGTATTATTATGTGATGCGGATCGTTTTGGTGAATAATTTTTGCAAAGGAAAACCATGATATTATTTTTTATTTTACAGTTGTTCCGGTCGAGTTTATTTATATTCGTTTTAGTGTTGTCTTCGGCCCGAGCATTTCTAGAAGAATGCGTTCACCGTACAGCAGCCACTACGTTGTGCCACGTGTCCTCTTTTTAGCCGCTCTATCTTTCCCCCTTTTCAACATTTGTTTCTTATTCCTGGCCCGTAACAACCGGGACTTACGGGTCGGCGGTGACGTCACTTGGCTAGATGACGGCACCTATGACGTCATTCTTCCGACGAGGCCGTTGACACTCGACGTTAAACGTCTCCCGACAAATCCCTAGATGCGCACTGCAAGTAAAACTTTTAACATAAGCGTTATAGTAAACCACAGAAACTCAACGGAGACTGTACACAATAATACATATATTATCCCCCTATCGACTTGATCTTTTTACATAAAAACTTGATATATCCTGTCACATTAAGGTCACCAAATGTATGAAATCGAAGCGTCGATATTACATATATCATTCTATTTGAAGTATAGTCCGTATACAAGTATCTTGTCCGTCGGAACATTTCAACACTTTTCCCTGATTTTAACGCCAAGTTTTTTGAAAAATATCACACAACTATAATGTTTGAAGCCAAAATTATACGAATGGAAAAAATGTAACGGTACAATGGTCGAGAGAGATAAGTGTGGGTGGAATTACAAGTAAGAGGTATTCCGAAGAAGAAGTAAATGGAGATGATATAAAAAAGATACAAATCGAGATAAATTGAGTAAATAGAGAAATGGTGACAGAGAAACTTGAAAAAAGAGGATTTGGCTGGCTGACCCCATTTGTAAAGGATAAGCCGAAAAGAATAAATGAAGGACTTTCCTTAAACATCGGCTTAATTTATCTTACACATTTGTCTATGGAGCAACACCTATACCCCCTTGCCCATCTCGTCCATTATCTTAATAAAATATACAATTAACGTTCGTGGCCACGTTTCGTATGTTGCCAGCGGGATGCGATTACCGAGTTTTATCGTTTCCGGTTTAACCGTAGTATAACGTCCCTATAGTTCGCACAACATGGTTTATGTGCAGAACATCATTGTTGTTATACACGATTTGTGGATTTGCAGGCAACACGCGAACGCTTCAGAAATCGCCGCGGTAAATCGTTAAATACATGTTTTCGTCTTGCCAGCTTGTCGATAAACAAATACCGTACACACCACGCCGTCATATCATTAAGCGAGTACCACAGTCAAGTGCATACGGTTTTCGGCGGCTGTTTAAAAGCTTCATATACGAGACCGCGTATCGCGCGTCCATTGTGCACGTCGACACGTTGCTATTGATTTTCCTAAACGCGTAACGCGCTGGTGAGAGCCACCGAGGTATAATATAACGCTAAAATTATAATACGAAACTGAATTGGTAGCGCTTGTATGGAGTACATCGAAAAATAAGTTCCACACTCGGAGTATCCTCGAAAAACCTAACCTGCCCGACCGTTGTGTGATGGAAACGCATTATTGCTTAATATATTATTTAGCGTTGCCCGGGGGTTGGAATCGAGTTGAAAAAAATCTCTACAAACAGGTTATCCCTATGAAAATATTACCGATTTTTTTTATATAATTTTGAGAACCGGATCCTTTAGTTTAATACAGTGGAGTAACTAGATACTTAAGCGTCCAGGAGCAAGATATTTTATTTCGCCCTATATTGCATGTTAACGTGTATAGTAAACAATACAAAATAACAGTATTAATTATAATATCAGTATATTTACACTTCAACCCAAACCAGGCGTTGTTTTCAATATTTTATAGAACCACAATTCGGAACCAGAATGTTTCAGTATTATTTATTTTAATAAAACTAATTGAGATTTCTATCTAAAAAACCTCATGAGTCCAACCAAACTTCCTGTTATTTATTTTAGCCTTTATTAATAGGGTATATTGCATTTTACAAACCAGCTAAAAAGTACGAAAACGGCGATTATTACACATTTAAAAATAATAGAAACAATAGAAAACATAATAATAAAAATTAATTAATCAACTGTTAGGTACTAGAAAATAAAAAGAATAAGAAAGATTTTGTCTGTTTTAGGAGCGTGGAGATTAACATTTTTTTCTGGACTTGTCAATTGATATGAAAGTTAGCTCTACATTGTCCAAAGATTCGCAACGGAGCTAAAATGGATAGACAAAAAAAAAATAATAATTTTAGACATTTTTCACTATTTAATTTTAGTCCTTTCAGTTTAAAATGTTTGTAAATATTATAATAGTTATAATGCATAGTGATTGTCATTTTTTTAAAGTTATTATTTTGATAATTTAGCTATTATCAATCAGTTACCAATGTAATTCTACTTCCACTAAACTATTGCTACAAAATTAATTCTTCATCTTCTTCTCAGCTTACCGGTCCATTAAGGACCATTGCTGCCTTCAACAGGTCTCTCCATCTCTCTCTATTGTAAGTCAACTCATGTCACATTCTGGTCTATGGCTTTCAAATCCTTGGCAACTACATCGATCCACCGAGTCCTGGGTCTTCCTAGGGGTCTTTTTTTGTTCTTTTTTTCCACGAGTACTTTTTTTATTAGTTGACCATCCGCTCTCCAAATGTGTCCAAACCACTCTAGTCTTTTATTCCTGATAAAGGCTAGAATGTTTGGTCTTTTGTATAATTTCTGTAACTCTTCATTTTTTCTTCTGTCAAACATGTTTGTTTCTCAGTTAAAGCGTAGTCCAAATATATTCCGGAGTATTTTTCTTTCAAATATTATCAGCTTTCTCTCATCGCCTTTTGTTAATGACCAACAAAATTAATTAGCAAAATAAAAAATTTCGTATGATAATTATTGTTCTTTTTTAATGAACTTCAAAAAAAAAATAGCCACGAAATATGTTTTTTTTTTTATCATTATTTTGAACATATTTTTGCGTATGAATTATAAACGACTTTTGTCTTAGCTAATCTGATTAGTTTTTTTGATTAATAGCAATTGAAAATGCAATTTTACCTACATACAAATAGGATTGTTAACATTATGGTACATTACGAACTCGTGATTAGATGACTAAGATATTACATGTAATTATTCATTTTCTAATTAAAATTATAACTTGCAAGTCACCATGTTATTAAAACAATTTGAAGAATACATTACTCCGCATCTCTAGAGATCATCTGCATAGTAAATTATTAATACGATCTGGCGCTTGAGATGACGGTAACCCTGATAGTTTATTAAATTATTATTATTTGATTAAACCCGTCTGTTTGCCCGCAATAACGCTTTAATTTAAAAACCTGTGTTGTCCGTACCTATTTATCGCCGAGTGTATGAATGTAGGTCATCTGATCATACCCATCAGGAATATGAGAAGTTTTATAGAAATTTGATAAAAGAAAATTGATCATATAAGGTGACTAGCCATGCAGATAATACAATATTGTTTTAGTTCGAAAAGTAACGCTATGATGTTACTAACGCACGACTTTACGCATTGTTACTTGAACTCAATTCGATGAACTATATTGAAACACTCCACCGCTGGATTTTTACCACTCATTCCAATCATTAGGACGATTGAAGACACCTATACGATTTACTGGTAATCAACTAATAATAATTGAAAAAAAATATATAAAACTTTTTACTAGATATTTAAAAATATTATATTAGGTATACAATTACCCAAAATTGTATTATTACTGATGTTTCAGCTTCAGACGGTAACTTATTTATTCATACTATTTTTTGTCGTGTTTCAAGATACTATTTTAATCACTGAGCTGATTTTATTAAATTTCCAGACTGTGGAAACCATTGGTTGTACTTAAGTCAATAAGTTTAAAATTCTCCCCGTACATAATATATTCAGAATTCTAATTTGTACAGTGCCCTCGCATAAATAGTCAAATTTGGTTGGTGTATGTATTGCTATGATAAAGACCTAGTAAAAGTCAATCGAAAACTAGAAAAATATGATTATCATTTTCTTTAAGACTAAAAACTCGTATTCATAGATTCAAATGTTATGTACCTACTTACCGAGGAAATATTAAAATCCTAAATTACAATTTTATTGATTGAAAATGACCCAAGGAAACTAATAATATAATATTAAAACTTCAATATTTCATAATGGCCTTCAATGATAATTATTAAAACATTTTAATGGTTCAATATTTTCACACGATACCACACCATCGGCTGTCGCGACTAGATTATGCATCGTTCCCATTATTCAAAACTGTGTTCCAAATTTATATAATATTATATAGTACGAACAATCAATAGTCTGTAAGTTGAAGAGACTCGCTGATCATGTACAGAACTTCAATACATCGTAATTATATCGTTGTGTACATAATTAACATGATGTCAAAAAATACAACTTTATTATTGGTTCTGTGTCTTAAGTACCAATATTGTACACATTCCGTTCATGGTTTATACAATCAATTTTCCACCCCGTACTGCATAAATGTACATTTGGTGCCAGTAAACTTTCACCCTCTACACCGCTTTACAATTTATGAGCTCCCGGTCAGTTGTTTCAAGACCAGAAAACGGATATTAACTGCAGCCGGACTCTCGCTTGTCCATGGCCAAAAGTATATGGTATATAGGCTATAAAAAAATACAGTTTAGTCGGAATTTTAATGCCCGTCTTCGGATACTATAAATGGGGTCACCCGCCACCGAGACCAAACTTATTCACTACGATACAATAATAGACATAACTCATATTTTCTTACAAATATAATATTCTTACCGTCCTTTCTGTAATAGAGAATTTCAAAATGCCTCTCTATGCCAGCAGCCAAGGCTTCTTTAACGACGGCCACAGCCTGCTGTGACGTCATTGGTCCCTGGAGGAACTCGCATATTGCTGGGCTCTGCATTACCTCAGCTCGGCTGTACCCTGTCATATGACAGAAACCGTCCGAGCAGTAGATTATGTTACAGCCAGATTGCTGGGCATTGGCCACCAAAAAACTACGATCTGAAAATTATTTATGAACACAAAACTGTTAATACTTATGTGTAAATTAAAACACACAGAGCAGACAAATTAAATACTAATATATATTACTTTTATTAGAATGTATATTTGTTTTATTTATTAGAATCAGCAAAGCAAAAACTAAGAATCTGCTGTATATGTATGTCAGATACAATGTTCCCAACTCTTTTCAAACAACGCGCATAATAAATGTTTTAATATTGTACAACTCATACGATAATGATAAAATATATTCATACCGTAAACCAATTGTGTTGTTAAATTCAATTTTTTTTTTACTATATACCTATGTATCTAGAACATGTTATAATGTCAACAAGCTAGATTTACAATGTTAAATAACTTTTTATTGATAATAATATTTTAAGGTTGTAACGATATGACCACATACCAGCAGTTCAACTGTTAATAAATCTATAGATACTCATTCATTGTGAAAATAATTACATTCTAGAAAATCAATGTTACATTAATTAAAGCATTAAATTATATTTTTACTATGAGACAAATTTAAGCGTAATACTCATAAAACTCGGTTATCATATAATATTAACTATTCTTCAAGCCGAAATTTGTCGAGCAATATTAAAAAAAATATAGTTCTCAACGTTTACTACGCCCTGTTCTTATTTCCACTTCCGAAAAATGTTTAACAAAAGTCGTTCTTCACTTATTTCCTATGGAATACAAAATACTATAATGCATACAAAATACCCAATGTTTTTTAAAACCAATTCAACACTTAAGCGCACTAAATCATAAATTAAAATATTATAAAGTATTTTGATAAATAAAAATTGTTTACTTGCTACCATGTTTGTCAGCAAACAATTCCAAGTATTTGCACGTTCAATTATAGTTAGTCATACTTATTTAGAATTATTATACTAAAATAATTTATTTTTCCTGGATTTCTTTTAGGGTCAGATAGTATTTTAGGTGGAATTTTTAAATATTCTTTCCTGGTAATAGATTGAGAAATGTTTCTTGATTGTACAACCGAATTTCCAAGAAGTGATTTGTGCAAATACGTGTTTTTATTCGAGAGAATGAAAAAGACGTTTTAAATATTGTTAAAAAAAGTGGTTTATAAAATAAAAAACATTTAAGGACCCTCCCCCCCCCCTATACCGTGCGACCCAAACCATTTGCCCGAGAATGTACAAATTCGTATCGCCGATTTTCATAATCCTTTAATCTTGATATACATTTTACAATAATACATTATATAGTATAGAAAATACGAAAGGACACGCCTTCGACCGTCCTTTTTTTTTCTTGTGACATGCGGAAAACGAACCTTTCCCGTCTCTATGGTCGAATTAAAAATAAATCGAAACCTGTATTATTTATTCGAGCGCGGAGCTTCTATGTGGTAAGTTCATGCGTGTTGTTTATATATAGTATATACTATACATATAGTTGGCGGAGATCCTAAAAAATTCTCTATACAGGTAGTTCCTAAAATAGAACAATATATTTTAGATGACACTCGAACGATGACATAATTTTTCTAACTCGTCGTCGCCATACGGGAAAAATGACGACATCGGGGTCTTTCTATTTGTAAAAGGCGTATCGCCAACGTAAAATGTTTTATCTAAGCAGACTTGAAATTGACAGAGTTCTGTTTTTTTATAGTTTTTCCTATGATAATAATAATTATAGACGCCAGACACACTTTGTCCCGACGCCGAATCCCATATCTAAATCCGTCGTCGTCTCTATAAAAACATTTTAAAATGCCGACGTTGTCAATACATCTTTGTAATGTACAATACATAAATCCGTGCTCGATTCTCGCTGGTTTTGCTACTATTTTGAAGAAAAAAAACAAAATATTTACCACTAAATAAAAATTATAGACCACATTAAAACTAAAATCTTGTACGATCACAGCTGTTATAATAGTATAGAAACAAGCGTGTTCGTGTGTGATGGCTGATGTACATGGTGTAATTTACATTGTACATTAATCATGTCTATTGTATAGGAAGGACCATTTTTCTTTAACGCACTAGATTACAAGCACTTGAAATAGTCATAAGTCAATCGTAAAAAAAATACATTAAAAGTCCAAATAAAGATATATATTTTTTTTTAATTATTATAACTATTTTTTGGTAAGTCAATTTTTTTAAATTTGAAGAAGAGTTAAATTTAGGGCTTTATAATTTGTAATTACTTTCTAGTCTATAGACCTAATATTTATGAAGACATCGATCCGACCGTTAAAAAAAAATTACTCAGTTTCTCGTTGAGGCTAAATGATGGAAAAATAAACTAAAACTAATACCGATCGAATAGAAGCCTCGGTTAATAGTGTTATAACGTCTTATTAAGTAATGATTCGCGTATAAGGTTTCCACGAACAAACACAGTAAAGTTAGGGCGTAAGGCGTACTACGAAACCTGCTAAATTCCCGGTCGAATCAATTGACCGTACACATGATTGTTGGTAAAACGTTTTCCAAATCCATTATTATACGGTTGAAAAATTAGAGTGTACACTTTAAACAACTCATGCCGCTAATTGTCGTCGATCGGCTAGTAATCATAAAATGGCGTTGGCGTTTAAAACGCCGAACAAAGTAGAAGGAATGAGAAGGGTGAAATGAGAGACTGGAAAATATATTTTTTCCAAAAGCTAAGCGCCTTGATCTGTTCGGGGTACATAAAATATAGGTATAGTGTGTATTTTCTTCCGCCTTTTGCACTACCAATCATCGTGAACCATTGTAAGCGTTGAGAGGAATGTGATTAATGACGCGACACGAACTAAAGCCAACGGAGGAAAATAAAATAAAAAGCATACGGCTTACGAATTAGTGTATTAAAAAAAATAAAAAAGATTATATTGATTCCATAGTCTGATAAAATATTGGACAGATTACGGCCGATAAATAATAATGATTATAACTTAACATAATATCTAAATAGCATCACTAGGATTTTATAAAGTGCACATTTATGCTTTTAGCACGGACGCAAAAGAGAACGGAAAACAAAGATGTTTCGCTTGTTACGACAGGTAGAAATAGAATATCTCAGAGTCACTTTCCAATTTACTAGCAAAGTTAAAGTTTCGGTTAGAAATTAATATTTATCAACGTCCGAGTGTAACATTGAAGAGCTCAGTAAATACTTCACCGCGCATTTTTATAATTTATTATAAACCATTAAATATGTAGTGATTGGTTTATAATATTATGCTACCCATCAAAGCAGTAAATTCATAGCTCCTTCCATTAATATTAGTTAATGAACTGTTTCTTTATCGAGCTTTCAAAATGTTCCATAAGCCATCATCGCATCCTGTATAACCTGCACAATCATTTCATCATGATCTTTCTCGACTGCACATGACAACGAAGTATGAGGTCTAAAAAACGGTATTGAACAATTTTCACCATAAGCACAAATAGCTTAAATGATCTGTCTAAGCCACCTTGGGAGACAATTCGAGTCTGCATTTGCTGTCTGATCACAGGTTATTTCCGAGTTTGGCTTGAAAAAGTATTGAGGAAATAAGCCTTCTAATCCTTCTCCTTCAATTTACGCCATTGTTGGTAGAGAATTTATTAGTACATGTTTATAACATAATATAAGTCATAATTATAAAACACACATCGTGCGCATTACGATATTAATAAACGAAACGTATATATATATAGTAATTGTAATATAATACAAATTATTAAATATAGTAATTATTATATGATCTAATGCGTTCTTATATTAACGTTGGTCTAAATTCTAAAAATATTAAGTTTTACATTATGTATACATTATTATAATGATTAGAAAACAGAATAGTGATCTCATTTTATATTAATTAATTGCCACTGTTTATAGTGGCCACGCAGTAAACGTTGAATAAAAGACGGATGACTACGCAGAAGTCGATAAGTTGTCGAGTGACCTATAAATCGGTTTTTAAGAATAAAACGGCAAGAGCATTGCCCATGGACCAACACGTCATTTCCTTGGCGACGAAGCGACGTTTAAAAAAAAGCAAGAAACAATTCGAGCCGTACGGATACTCTATCATACACAACTTTCATGACTTAATACCGACAAATGTTTGAAATATTGCACGGTTTCATACTTAAAACCAATGCATGCCTATAATTGTTATCATGTACGGGGCTACAAAATCCAATAAATAATATCATATTATATTTCACATCATAGTTCTTGTTCTTGTAGCGAGGTATCTTAATTTTTTTTAGATAATAATTTTTTAACGAATGAAAGAAGAAATTTGTGGAAGACGTCACTGAAAAAACTTCCAAAAAAAAGTGCATCTAAAACAGAATGATTAACACTTTCATAATTTTTAATCAAAGTAATGTATCATCAACGCAGTTCGGAAGAAGCTGGCGACAGGGACAAAACTAGCTGCGGTGAATGATAAACTAAAAGGCTACAGCAAGAAAATAATAGGGGGCGAGGGTAGAACACGCTTCGACATATAATATGACCTTAATATGATCGTTTCAGTCTATAGGCAGCAGCAGAACGAATAATATGGTAACCAGCACGCAACACAGCCATGAAGGTGTAAGATGAAATTCTTCCGGAACGTCAGCAAAGCGAATATATGAATAATGGTGTAACTGAAATTCTGTAAATATTTCACTCTAAAAGAGTCCAAACACATTTTATTATCATTAAAATAATATATTAATAATAATAACATATTATAATCTTAATAACAATATTGTGATAACAGTAGTACATGATTGATACACGTGCTTTAACATACGATCGTTAACTTTATCACAAATTGAATACACAATTAACAACAGACTACTTGCATATTTAAAAATAATATATAATAATTATAAATATATGACATTTTTTTTAAAACTTATTTTGTTTGACAAAGGGATTATGGGGATTATTTTAATAAAATATACGTATGCAAAATTATTCTTTTATGATTTACTCAGACCAAAAAATTGTGTTTCCACGCC